CGGACCCGTTTGTGGGCGGGAATTGATTCGATGCCTTGGCTCAGCTTGTCTGGTCTAGCTGAAGTTCTGAACCATCTTGACCTTTTTTTGCGTTTTTGGCCGACGCGTCTCGGGAGACGCGTCGGTTTGTTTTGATTTACGCGAGACTGGGCCAATCAGAATCCACAATGAACCGCCCACAGTTGGCACACCACCATTGACCATGCTCATATTATATAGGCGGTTTTTTGTAGCGCATGACAGCGCATGACAGCTGCTGGAATTGGCCCCCCCGCCCCCATCTAGAATCATTAATAAATCATATTACCCTCACCACTTATCATGAACATGACCTCCAAATGCACGCTTCAGCACGACAACCTTGCCAAGTCCGCACAAGCCACCCAACCGATTCTCCGGCTATCCGCCCATTGACTATTGCACGTGTAATATGTTTCCTTGATCCCTGCAAAAAACGTTTGTCCAAGCCACGAGCTAGCCTGGTCCAGCACCACTTCCACTTCCTCGTGCCTATTATTCCCCTCCCATTATGATGTGCAGTATTTAATCGATGCCGTCATGACCTGACTAGCTAGTCTTGTTTCTTCTTCTATTACCGGGGATTCTTTTGTTGTTTGCATCTAACATCTCTTCTATATGCACCATGCAGCACAAACGAAGGAGAAGAAAATGAGCAAGATGGGGAAAAAAGTTGGCCTCCCGTCGCGTCCGCATTCCTCACTCCTCGCCGTCCCGGCCGTTTGGAATGGACCACCCGGGGCTCCTCTTCAGGGAGAAGAGGAGGGGGGGGTGTGGCCCAACGCGGCGCAGCCGGACCCGAGAGAAGAAGTGGTGAAACTTGTCGACATTGACAAATCTTGTTCAAAAAGAATGGGAAAGAAAAAAAAATGCACCGAGCACAAGATGAATGTTTCTACCTTTTTTTNTTTTTTTTTGGTATCTTTACTTTTTGTCTTTTTCTTATCCAGATCAGTAGAGTTTAGTCAGATCAGTACCTGCGTTGATT